AACAAAAATTACAACCCCCAACTTTGAATATTGTTATGTAGGAAAAAGTCAACTTCCTCCAAAACTACGAAATTTCAAATCGGGAAGAGATTTTATTTATTGGTACCAATTGAATGCTTCTTTGTAGATCAATTAAGCATAATCTATTAAAGAAACAACAATTTTTGATGTAAAACAAAAATTACAACCCCCAACATTGAATATTGTTATGTAGCAAAAAGTCAACTTCCTCCAAAACTACGAAATTTCAGATCGGGAAGAGATTTTATTTTTTGGTAGCAATTGCAAGCTTCTTTGCATATCAATTAATCATAATCTATTAAAGAAACCACAATTTTTGATGTACAACAAAAATTACAACCCCTAACATTGAATATTGCTATGTAGGAAAAAGTCAACTTCCTTCAAAACTACGAAACTTCAAATCGGGAAGAGATTTTATTTTTTTGGTAGCAATGGAATGCTTCTTTGTAGATCAATTAAGCTTAATCTATTAAAGAAACAACAATTTTTGATGTACAACAAAAATTACAACCCCCAACATTGAATATTGTTATGTAGGAAAAAGTCAACTTCCTCAAAACTACGAAACTTCAAATCGGGAAGAGATTTTATTTTTTGGTAGCAATTGAATGCTTCTTTGCAGATCAATTAATCATAATCTATTAAAGAAACCACAATTTTTGATGTACAACAAAAATTACAACCCCCAACATTGAATATTGTTATGTAGGAAAAAGTCAACTTCCTCCAAAACTACGAAATTTCAAATCGGGAAGAGATTTTATTTTTTGGTAGCATTTGAATGCTTCTTTGCAGATCAATTAATCATAATCTATTTAAGAAACAACAATTTTTGAAGTACAACAAAAATTACAACCCCCAACATTGAATATTGTTATGTATGAAAAAGTCAACTTCCTTCAAAACTACGCAACTTCAAACCGGGAAGAGATTTTATTTTTTGGTAGCATTTGAATGCTTCTTTGTAGATCAATTAAGCATAATCTATTAAAGAAACCACAATTTTTGATGTACAACAAAAATTACAACCCCCAACTTTGAATATTGTTATGTAGGAAAAAGTCAACTTCCTCCAAAACTACGAAATTTCAAATCGGGAAGAGTTTTTATTTTTTGGTAGCAATTGAATGCTTCTTTGTAGATCAATTAAGCATAATCTATTAAAGAAACAACAATTTTTGATGTACAACAAAAGTTACAACCCCTAACATTGAATATTGCTATGTAGGAAAAAGTCAACTTCCTTCAAAACTACGCAACTTCAAACCGGGAAGAGATTTTATTTTTTGGTAGCATTTGAATGCTTCTTTGTAGATCAATTAAGCATAATCTATTAAAGAAACCACAATTTTTGATGTACAACAAAAATTACAACCCCCAACTTTGAATATTGTTATGTAGGAAAAAGTCAACTTCCTTCAAAACTACGAATCTTCAAATCGGGAAGAGATTTTATTTTTTGGTAGCAATTGAATGCTTCTTTGTATATCAATTAAGCATAGTCTATTAAAGAAACAACAATTTTTGATGTACAACAAAAGTTACAACCCCCAACATTGAATATTGTTATGTAGGAAAAAGTCAACTTCCTTCAAAACTACGAAACTTCAAATCGGGAAGAGTTTTTATTTTTTGGTAGCAATTGAATGCTTCTTTGTGGATCAATTAAGCATAATCAATTAACGAAACAACAATTTTTGATGTACAACAAAAATTACAACCCCCAACAATGTTTATTGTTATGAAGGAAAAAATCAATTTCTTTCAAAACTACGAAACTTCAAATCGGGAAGAGATTTTATTTTTTGGTAGCAATTGAATGCTTCTTTGTAGATCAATTAAGCATAGTCTATTAAAGAAACAACAATTTTTGATGTACAACAAAAGTTACAACCCCCAACATTGAATATTGTTATGTAGGAAAAAGTCAACTTCCTTCAAAACTACGAAACTTCAAAGCGGGAAGAGATTTTATTTTTTGGTGTAGCAATTGAATGCTTCTTTGTAGATCAATTAAGCATAATCTATTAAAGAAACAACAATTTTTGATGTACAACAAAAGTTACAACCCCCAACATTGAATTTTGCTATGTAGGAAAAAGTCAACTTCCTTCAAAACTACGAAACTTCAAATCTGGAAGAGTTTTTATTTTTTGGTAGCAATTGAATGCTTCTTTGTGGATCAATTAAGCATAATCAATTAATGAAACAACAATTTTTGATGTACAACAAAAATTACAACCCCCAACATTGAATATTGTTATGTAGGATCCTTCAAAACTACGAAACTTCAAATCGGGAAGAGATTTTATTTTTTGGTAGCAATGGAATGCTTCTTTGTAGATCAATTATGCATAATCTATTAAAGAAACAACAATTTTCGATGTAAAACAAAAATTACAACCCCCAACATTGTTTATTGTTATGTAGGAAAAAGTCAACTTCCTTTAAAACTACGAAGCTTCAAATCTGGAAGAGATTTTATTTTTTGGTAGCAATTGAATGCTTCTTTGTAGATCAATTAAGCATAATCAATTAATGAAACAACAATTTTTGATGTACAACAAAAATTACAACCCCCAACATTGTTTATTGTTATGTAGGAAAAAGTCAACTTCCTTTAAAACTACGAAGCTTCAAACCGGGAAGAGATTTTATTTTTTGGTAGCAATTGAATGCTTCTTTGGAGATCAATTAAGCATAACCAATTAATGAAACAACAATTTTTGATGTACAACAAAAATTACAACCCCCAACATTGTTTATTGTTATGTAGGAATAAGCCAATTTGCCTCAAAACTACGAAACTTCAAATCTGGAAGTGATTTTATTTTTTGGTAGCAATTGAATGCTTCTTTGTAGATCAATTAAGCATAATCTACTAAAGAAACAACAATTTTTGATGTACAACAAAAATTACAACCCCCAACATTGTTTATTGTTATGTAGGAATAAGTCAATTTGCAAAACTACGAAACTTCAAATCGGGAAGTGATTTTATTTTTTGGTAGCAATTGAATGCTTCTTTGTAGTTCAATTAAGCATAATCTATTAAAGAAACAACAATTTTTGATGTACAACAAAAATTACAACCCCCAACATTGAATATGTTATGTAGGCAAAAGTCAACTTCCTTAACAGCTACGAAACTTCAAAGCGGGAAGAGTTTTTATTTTTTTTGTTGCAATTGAGTGCTTCTTTGTAGATCAATTAAGCATAATCTATTAAAAAAACAACAATTTTTGATGTACAACAAAAGTTACAACCCCCAACATTGAATTTTGCTATGTAGGAAAAAGTCAACTTCCTTCAAAACTACGAAACTTCAAATCGGGAAGAGATTTTATTTTTTGGTAGCAATTGAATGCTTCTTTGCAGATCAATTAAGCATAGTCTATTTAAGAAACAACAATTTTTGATGTACAACAAAAATTACAACCCCCAACATTGAATATTGTTATGTAGGAAAAAGTCAACTTCCTTAAAAGCTACGAAACTTCAAATCGGGAAGAGATTTTATTTTTTTGGTAGCAATGGAATGCTTCTTTGTAGATCAATTAAGCTTAATCTATTAAAGAAACAACAATTTTTGATGTACAACAAAAATTACAACCCCCAACATTGAATATTGTTATGTAGGAAAAAGTCAACTTCCATCAAAGCTACGAAACTTCAAAGCGGGAAGAGATTTTATTTTTTGGTAGCAATTGAATGCTTCTTTGTAGATCAATTAAGTATAATTTATTAAAGAAACAACAATTTTTGATGTACAACAAAAATTACAACCCCCAACATTGAATATTGTTATGTAGGATCCTTCAAAACTACGAAACTTCAAATCGGGAAGATATTTTATTTTTTGGTAGCAATGGAATGCTTCTTTGTAGATCAATTATGCATAATCTATTAAAGAAACAACAATTTTCGATGTAAAACAAAAATTACAACCCCCAACATTGTTTATTGTTATGTAGGAAAAAATCAATTTCCTTCAAAACTACGAAACTTCAAATCGGGAAGAGATTTTATTTTTTTGGTAGCAACTGAATGCTTCTTTGTAGATCAATTAAGCGTAATCTATTAAAGAAACAACAATTTTTGATGTACAACAAAAATTTCAACCCCCAACATTGAATGTTGCTATGTAGGAAAACTTCAAAGTTACCTGTTTCCCTAATACTAATTTCCATTTTAAAAATTGTCTCATTAATTAAAACAAAAACTGGGCACAAGATGTGTTTAGAAGAGAGCAATTTGGTGTGTTTCCGAACCATTTTGCCGCTTTAAAAACGGAAACCAGAAGTTTATTTTACGCAGCCGATTGCTTTTTGGTAATTGACTACTGCTTCCGCTTCATACGTATCTAATTGAGGCATACGTATCTAATTGAGGTAATATAATTAATTAAAAAATTTCAAATTCGTCACACAAAAATTCCATTAACATCAAAAAATATCTACAATGGTTTTGAAACAGTTTTCCTGATAATACTTCACGACACCTGCAGGTGCGTTGATGACGCGGTGCGCGATATTAGAACACGTGTTGCAGGTAAAGATAAAGTAACTTAATGTTCTTGTAATAGTAGGAAAAAAGTATGTACTTATGTACGTTGCGTACCTAAATTGCTTAAATGATCAAAAGTTACTTTTTGTTGGAATACGAATTACCTATATGCTTTCTGGGGATTGTGCACCAAAACCAGCGATTCAAAAATGCTCGGTTTCACCAACAATGATTAAGATTAATCACTGATTCAAAATGTTAGAATGTTTAGCCACCTCTGATTTTAAACTCAGATCTTTCCCATTCTAATTCGAGTATTTTTAGTCAGTGATTAACCTTAATCATCGTTTGTGAAACCGCCCATAAATCCACTAAATAAAGGGTTCGCAAACACTCATTTTTGAATTTGTAGGTTGTTTGTGGTTTTGGTTATACGTTACACCCAAATTAAACAAAGAAGAAAAACTCACCCTTTAAGCTTACTTTAGTTCCTCCAAGGGAAGAACCATTACGATTTACCATTGGAAAGAAGACACTTACACGACACTACCGCGCTATTAAAATTCTCGTACGATACTGAATATAATTGGGAATTGTGACGTAGATAGACGACAGGTAAGGAGAACAATGTAACCTTATCAAACTACTTTGCCACAGGCCAGTTTCGCGCCGACCCCGTTATCTATACTCATCAAATTTATTCACAAATTCGGAAATATTTATCTATTACAGGCGTTTTACGTACAGTTGTGTCTAAATAAATAAAATTTTGGTTTAATAAATGGGAAACAGCAGTTGCAACCTTGTCCGCTGTTTCTCAAACTATTTTTTTGATCTAAAGTTTTGCTCAAAGGCATGGCACAGTAATAGTTTACGTTCAATAAAATTTTCGCCAATTCTTCAGTCCATTCTGCCAATGCATTCATGGAAGGAAAGATGGGAGGACATTCTTTTTCTGCACAATGAGTTTTAAGTTCAATTGTACATTCCAGTAAAACATTTACTGTAAGAATAGCTAGGATAAAGGAGACCTAAATATTTGCTTGCACAAAAGGAGACGTTAAGTTAACGGTATCTTCCAGCATAAATTCAGTTGAAAGCATCTCTTCTTCTCGTTCCAAATAAAACAGACACGGATCATAAGTAGATGGTGTAAGACCGAATCTTTTCATGTCTTTCTGAAATCTTTCATCATGATCTTCCAGACTGATGAGATGAAATCCATAAAGTGCGTTTTAATACATCCCTTCATCATATCTGTCACAGGTTTCATACACATTACATTTACACCAAACCTACAAACACTACAAGTACCACCACCCCCACACACACTAGCAAAAAAATCAGTCATTGACAAATAATATGTTGTCAGTCAATTTTGAAGAATTGTTCTTTTTATCCAAAGCATAAATATACCTTCTCATTGTACTTTTGGAATATATATAATTTCAATAGATACCTTCAATTTCAAAATCAATGAGTAATTTAAGCTGGGTGAAGATGCTTTGTACGTCAAAAGGAGGAGTGAGGAAACCAAAAACGTTTTTTTCATTTTGAATTATACAACGGCAAACTGCCTTTATGGCATGATCAAAGCTTTTCCGTAAGGTTTATTTGAGAAGTTGAGATGATGAATGCCTCAATAAAAATTTCGAAAACTAAAAGAGAACAATTCGAAAGGGATAAACGATTCCGACTGAGTAGCTAAGCTTGCTTGAATTGCCAGTAAAAAGACGATGATCGTCCCTTCTATAACATGCTCCAATATGGATTTCTAATTCATTCCCAACTAACATGTAGAAAATTGTATTTGCCTTCATAAATAATTCATAATCATTTCCCGGGGATTTAAAATGCGGACCCCAAACCGCAAATCGAATATATCCGTAAGGAAATGATTTCAAATTCGTATTTAAATAAGATTTATTTGCAGCAGAGTTTGTAATACGATACTTTTTTACCTTAAGAAAATTCGTATTGAGATGATGCGCCGGGGAAGTTGTTTCCTTTAATTAAAAAGCTTGTGGACTATGCGCGGAGCGGATTTCGTTCAACTTTAGTGCGGGGTGGTAGTTTGCGAAACTAAGGAGGGAGGTTTCTTAATCTTATGCAAATTAATACATAAACAAGACCCTTATGGAATGTGAAATATTAACATGTGCGTAAACTTCTGAATTCTTGTAGCACCAGATATATAATGTATATGTATATGAAAGATAATAGCGCAAAAAGTAAGTTAGTGGCAATTTTTTCGTCTGGACGATGATGATGCACATATTTAAAGAGCTTCCTTAACTCAGCGCTTATATTACCGTCCATTTGCATTCACGGGATAAGATTATACTTAATCTAGCATAATTCCGCAGTAATGTTGCAAATGTATGTTCTTTAGCCCGTATTTGACAAATTACATATGAAGAAACCTTATTTAAAGCAGATTCCACATTTGAATAAATTTACAATAATAAGTGATAATGATAAAATGATGGTTGAACTGTCTTATTAATTCTTAATCCCGATGTCCTTATTCAATTCAAAACACAAAAATAACAACCCTGAAAATGTTCCAGAAGTAGCACCTTGTGGACACTATTTTTTGCAACCATAAAAGGTTCTGAAATCAAAAACACTCTTTAGACTCCAAGATCCAAAATAATCGCCACATTCAATCAAACCATCAGAACAACATCCTGAACTGTAAGCCACAGTTTCTTACCGGTATATGGTTAAAATTGGAAACCCAGGGGTCAGTGTCTACAGATTAAAACACCCTTATCCCTTTTATCTCTTTGAAATATAGAGCAACGAAAGAGAAACTACGTGCGTGTAGTATAGTAACGTTTGTTTTATGGTCACCGTACGTTATTGTTTGGTATTCGCTGGCATACTTAAATTCTAACTGTCGTTGCATTTACGGGCGCAATCTCTTGGTGGGATTTTTTGAGTTGGTTTCTGGGCACATTTTGTACTATTACTTTATGTGATATTTCATTGATTACGTGAGCACCGCCATTTTGTATTCCGCGTGGTACATGTAGGCATTCCTTTAGGAATACTGCTGAACTCGAACCTTCATTGGTTTACGATGTGGTGTTATTTTATTATTATTATTTTATTTTATGTTACATAGGTATTGTCTTTTAGACCTTTTAATTTCTCGTACAAATACTGGTTTCCCGTACCCGAATTGATTTCCTTTACAACCATCTGAACGTAGTTTTACCGATACCCGTGGTTTATCACATCTATATACAGCTAGGGGCAATTTTAGTATGTAGCGAAAAATTCAAAAGATCTAAGATTGACAATGTTTGGATGCTTCCTTTTGCAGAACGGCAACTTTCGTAAACTTTTATAGTCATAATTTGTCAACCATTATACAGGGTGTTCAATAAAAACTTCCCACCATGGATTTATCGAACACCACTGATTAAAGGAAAAAACGCCCAGACACGTCAATTGTAAACTTTTTAACCAAAACGCACTTCACCCCCTTCCATCCTCTACCCCCAAGGGTTATTCCCCTATAAAATTTAAATGTCAAGTGGTATAAAGTAATAGCTTGTTTGAAAGGTCTTTCATGTAATAATCCTGAGCGAGCTAGTCGTTTATACGCTGTTTTGAGCCAAAGCAGCTTAACTCATTGTTATATACTCTACTCTAACACCTGTTTTAATTCGAATTTGGTCAAAATATAGTTAATTTTAGCACCGGTTATTTTGATTTCTAAAAGTATTTTTAAAAAAGTACTTCCACACATAATACGTAGTTGGTAGTTTTATCCCTGCACCATCAAAACCAATGAGATCAAATTTCTTAAAAGTTACTGCACCAGAAACCCTTACAAACGGTTAAAATTAATATCGCATTAGATACCGCACTCTGGCACTACGGATTAATGTACTTGGGCCCATTAGTCTCCTCGATAGTCACACGAAGTTAATTTTCTATATCGACCGTACTGGTCGCTTCAAAAGTCAATGCGCGAACCTCTTAATCGTTGTCTGGACTACGATTGATCTCTTTGAATGTTACAACGCGAATCTTTTTTTTATATCTGGACCAACTGGTCGCTTCAAAAGCCAAAACGCGAATCCTCAAGAGTCCTCTTAACCTCTTTTGACATCACATGTACTAGCTTAGTCGGTCATGTTTTCTAATGTGCCAATTGGTTTGGACATGTACTAAGAAAATACCGTGTGTTGAAGGAAGTAATCAAGTGAGCTGTTCAGGGAGAAAGGAAAAGAGGAAGAAGGAAGGAAATGCAGGATATGAAGAAGTAAACAGTTGATTTAGCAGAAATCTAACGATGATGAATTGGAATCGTTAAAGCTTGCCAAAAAGAGGCTGCCCTAATGTTGCTGATTAAGCTATCCAAGGCTAGCAAATGACATCATGCTGTCGTATTAAATGAAAGGAAATACCCCTCATAAAGACCTCTGAATCTGAGATAAACTCACGTCGGCTCAACATCCAGAATAACAAAGAGCTATTGAAATTGAAATAGAACAGACGGACTTAATTTCCATGATACTGAAATTCCACCACAAATGACAACTCCCTGACAAAGTAACCATTTAAATTTCGACACCCAACAAATTCCAATAATATTCAAATCCAAAATTAGAACTATCGTTACAGTCTGAATTATGCATGTACCAACTTCTTTGACATTCCCTTGTCGGTGTTTTGTGATTGTGTCATTTTCTAATTTTTGTAAATTTGATGAACACTCTGTGTTATAATATTCCAAATTTTCAATGTTTAAAGTAATAAAAGTACGATAATCGTATCTATGAAGTGGCATCAGAAAAAGATTTTTCGGAGGAGCGCAATTGCACAGCAAAAAATCATAATTTCATTGGCGCAAGTCTAAGGAGGGGGTAGTGATGCAAAGACAATTTATGGTGGGACCGTACGATTATAAAGGTCGCCCCTCCTCCCCCCAGAATATTAGTAAATTAATTTCAGTATGAATGAATTTGTGGTACATTTTTCATATATTGCAAGATATAAATCTTTCTCCACCCGAATTTGTGATCTTGTGATATGTGGTACCCTTAAAGTTGTTTTGTGTGTTCTAGCCGAATGGTTTAGTTTCTACATTGGCAGTTAAAAAAATTTACAATTGACTATATCTCACAAACAAAAGGTGATATCAAGAAATGGTAAAAACCGGGGATTAATATGACGTAAGAGAGAACTCCCTCCCATCAACCCCCAACTAAAAAAAGTCAATAGCTAAGCTCCTGTGATAAATTATTGAAAAGTCTATCATTGGATATCGTCAATGATTAGCAAATGAAATATTTCTAACGCGACATTAAAAAGCTCCAAGAGTCAATAATAGTTTATTTTTGCGCCCTTAAGTGTTAAATAAGTGTACTAATTTCTTTACTAGGTATAATTATTTTGGTTAAAAAGTTAAAGATGAGAAAAAGGTTTTCGCTTTAGCCATGAATTGATCAGTACTTCCCAAAAGGTAATTTCCTATGCCTATGGGATATGGAGTGCAACCCTCTACCTCTGATACACACTTTAAACTTTGGATT